CTCTGCCAGCTGCCCGTCAGCTCTGCAAGGCCCTTGCAGAAATCAGCTTGCTGTGTCTCGAGCCCTGTGGCTGAACTTGGCAGGCACGTGAGCCGGAGGGTCGGGGAGAGGGGTGTCACCAGTCCTAAACCAGGCGGCAGCCTCCCGAGAAGGGGCAGGAAGCGCCGAGTCCCCGATCCCCCCGCTGAACTGGCAGCTCGCGCCCAGCATTGTAGCTGAGCGTGTTTGCAGCGTTTTATGGGGCATAATCTGTTGTCATCGAAGCCGATGGCAAATTCCGTACTTTCTGCAGCTGACGCTAAATAGGTCTTTTGAAGGTTGTAATTTCTCGTTTAACTGATGCCAGTTGCAAATACTTTGTGCTGAGGAATAACCCCTTAGCGCCAAATAAAATACAGTGGAAGTCTGTGGCATGTTTTTCAGCGTATTGTTAGTTACAGCGCTCCTGACAGAGCACATTCTATGCCGAAGATAAATGCTTGGGAGCCTCTTGCCAATTTATGTCCAAAAGGGCTTTTCTTGGATGTCCTCTTCTCTGTGGAAAACGCTTTTCTGTTTTTCCAGCAAACATTTAATGAGCTGCGCTTAAAAGAAGAAGAGGACCTATTTCAGGACCAGACCGTTCTGCTTTAGTTCTCTCCGAGCTGGTTTGTGGCTCTATGGGTGCTCTGATCTTTGTTACACCACGTTGCATGGCAATGGTCTTTGCAGAGCAATATGCGTGTTCCAGTACCTGCGTGGGGGATGTTTCGGTCCACCCAGCACCGCTCTATTGTCCCTCGTGCCCAAAGTTGAAGGGTATTCCCAACTGACCTGTCTCAGAAAATCCAGGCTCCGACCAGGCTGCAAGTACAGTTGTTGGCATATTAGGACACTGGATTCCCATGCTGGGATCTCAGTCTTCCCATTTGAATTCAATTTCTGTGACCAAGGGGGAGCCTGGAGAGCTGGTGTGAGTGGCCTGGGGCCAGTCAGAGGGACGTGCCTGCAGGGACGCGGGCTGGCAGTGGCCCATGGCCAGGAGCTTCGTGTCTGGCTGCTCACCAGTCCCGGTTTGGCATTGCTGCCAGCACTTCCAGCGCATGGCTGGTACCTGAGGCTGGCAGGAGAGGGCCTTCAGCCTGAGCTGTGGTGTCCATCCCTGGTGCCCCTTTCTGGGAGATGTATAGAGAGCTGCACGAGGAGGAGGCGGGAGGAAGCTACCTCTGATGGGGGGGGGTCACCTGCACGCTCACTAATGCATTTACTCTTGTGACCAAAGAGGTTCGTAAAGATTTCCTAAGTGAAGTTGAAGGCTCTCAAGGTTTCTGTGAGCCACCAGGAGCAGCTGAGCTTTCTTTCCTAGGGATGAGGTGATTTCGAAGTCCCCTCAAGGGATGCCATTGGTGGATGTCCTGGTTTCAGCTGGGATAGAGTTAGTTTTCTTCCTAGTAGCTGGTATAGTGCTGTGTTTTGGATTTAGGATGAGAATAATGTAGGTAACACACTGATGTTTTAGTTGTTGCTAAGCAGTGCTTACACTAGTCAAGGACTTTTCAGCTTCCCGTGCTCTGCCAGGTGCACAAGAAGCTGGGAGGGAGCACAGCCAGGACAGCTGACCCAGACTGGCCAAAGGGCTATTCCATACCATATGATGTCATACCCAGTATATAAACTGGGGGAGTTGGCCAGGGGGCAGTGATTGCTGCTTGGGGACGGGCTGCGCGTCAGTTGGCGGGTGGTGAGCAGTTGTATAGTGTATCGCTTGCTTTGTATATTATTATATTATTATTACTACTACTATTACTACTATTCTATTTTATTTTACTTCAATTATTAAACTGTATAGTGTATCGCTTGCTTTGTATATTATTATATTATTATTACTACTACTATTACTACTATTCTATTTTATTTTACTTCAATTATTAAACTGTTCTTATCTCAACCCACAAGTTTTCTCACTTTTACCCTTCCAATTCTCTCCCCCATCCCACCGGCGAGGGCGAGTAAGCGAGCGGCTGTGTGGTGCTTAGTTGCTGGCTGGAGAGCGGAAAGCCCATCCCGCGGCTACTTCTGTCTAAATTAACCCAGACATCCAGGCCCTGGGGCGATGGTTTGGTAGGTTGACGAGGCTGAGGGAGCTGTGGCACTGCAGCAGTGGGGCGATCCAGGGCCCCATGCAGGCGATGCTCGGTGCTCACCTGCTGTCACACAGCCACGGCTGTGCCTGACCCAGAGGGGACTGAGCTTGGGCTTCAGGAGCTGTGTGCTGCCTCGGCCTGGGGAAGCCTCAGCACAGGGACATGGTGGTGCCCATCAGCTGTTGGGGTGCCATTAAACCTAGCTATGGAGCCCCATTAACCTGAAATAAGTCCATCTGCCTTCATTTATGAATCGAAACTGACAGTTTTTTCTGCAAAGGGTTAAGAGCAGAGCCAGCGTCGACGTGGAGCCTCGCTGTTCACACTGATGATAGCTAGGAAATGCAGTCTGCAATACTAACAAATACACCAGCTAGCGTTTGCATATGGAACTGAAGTGAAGTAGCTCCTGTGTACCTTTATACCATATACTGAAAGTACTTCAATTACTCACTGTTAATTTATTCTCCGTGCTGTGAAACTCAACAGCATGAATGGCACAATTGTAATGGGAATGCGTCCCACTTCTGGTTTGTTTTGAAGTGATCTGCTTTTTGTCTGCACCCCTGTAAGTATGGGACTACTAGATGTGTTATGAACAAAGAGAGTGGCAAAACATGTCCTTCAAGAGCGGGTTGTCTAAAGAGATGGGCGAGGTGAAGCAAGGAAGGAAACGGAGGCGCAGAGAAGCAGACTGCGTTGCTCACAGTCGTTAAGAAAGCTGGAGCTGGGGAGTTTCCCTGGCTGCCAAATCCCACCCTGCTCCTCTGTCTGCTGTCCCCAGCTTTGCTTTTGCGCTGGTTTCGTTGCCATCTCCGAAAGCTCTTCCCCGAAATACAGCTTCACTGAGAGCTGGGCGCATGGTGTGGGCTCCAGGGACACGAGTCTGGCAGAGACCCGATGAAGTCTTGTGGTCAGTCCACCTTTCCCCCAGGGCAAGATGGAATTCGCACATGCTGTTCGAATTTGCATGCCAGTCCTGACACATGTTGTTCCTCTAGCTCGTTTTAAGGACCTCTAATGATGGAGAAATCTGTATAATATACGCTAATGACCCTCATGAACTTGAATCTGATGGAAGGTCATTTACTGATTTCAGGAGGGCTTTGATCTGGAGCAAAAGCCCTCATTCTGCGGTTCATTGGGAGTTATTAGGGGGGAGAATGACCAGAGAGGGGTGGTTTTAAACCTACACTTACATACTGTGTTGAATGCGGCCCTGAGGCTAGGCATATTTTCTCTAAATATCCTCAAACATCATTGTTTTCCAGTGAAGAACATCACCTGGTTCCCATAGGTTTTGTTCAATAGTTTTTTTTATTATTTGGAGAAATTTTTTTCCAGATTTTCCATTGCAACTCATATTCAGATATCGGTGTTTCTTGGTTTAAAAATACTTTGTACTCGAGTTATTTTATTTTTACTTCAATTGTTAGTAAAAATGGACATAGTGAAGTAACCAGCAAATAATTTTGCCAGAAGGTTGATCAAAACAATTATGTTTTCCTAGGGAAAAAAAAATTCTGTTTAAAAATTTCTCATTAAATGTAGTTGGCATTTCTGGATGTGACTGACACAAGGAATTCTGAAAAAAATGCCCACACTAACAGGCTGGGGGACAGGAATTTGCTGTATTTGACAGGCTGTATACAAGAAGGATGCAGCACTGCAAACTCAGCAGCGCAGGCTTTGCCAATGTGTCTAGACAGCCCATCTCCACGGGGGAGAGAAAAGCTTATTTCTTGGACCCGCTCCATCTGTGGTTGCTCCGATGAGACAAGACCACTTACGGCTCTCCTTTATCAATGGAGATTTTGCGTCCAAGCTTTGGGGTTGGGCTGAGCTTGCTCGGCCCTCGTTGCGCGGTGATCGGTCGTCTGCATGAACTGACTTGGGCTCCCACAGCTGGCGGGATGCGGTGGTCGGAGCAGGGGCACGGGGCGCAGCACGGGTGCATAGTCGTATTTCTCCAACTGTGCTACTTTGGGTGAGCCGTCAAATCTTTTGCTGGTTTTGAGATACTCCTCTGTTAGGTGAGGATGTGCCTAGTCTGGCAATGAATGTGATTCATTAGCTAGAGCCCTTTAAAAGCCTTAAATTCTGTTAAATTGTGCTAGAATGGCAGCATTCATCTTCTAGCCCTGCACCAGACCGAAAGCAGTGCTTTGTGGCTGAGATATCCTGCATCTCCATACAGGTTCCCGAAATTATCTGATCCTCCAGGTTAGAGCATCTGACATTTCAGCCAGATTAAGGGCAGCAATAAGCAGATATCCTATAATATATTCATCACCTGGAGGCAAAGATTATTATTCCGTATTAGGGAATGTTGTTTCCAACATATCCCTCGTTTGCCCCAATTCACAGGAGCTCTGACAGTCATTATTCTGCCTCCTCTGCTGGGAGTTGTGCTTTTCAAACTGCAGTGAACTTTGTGGAAATACAGAGGTTTCAATTTTTCAGCCTTTTGATTTAAAATCTCTAGATGATTGTTCGACTCTGGCAGGGAACCATTCAAAATACATTCCAAAATATTCATCATTCCAGCAGGCTAAGAAACATAAGATGTAGCAATTTATTAGCTAATGTGAAATGCATTCGCCGTCCAGAAGAGGCTAAGGATGGAAGTGGATCTGAGCCTGATTTGCCTTCGCATCCCGCAGAGCTGGGGCGCGGAGCACGCTGGAGCCCGTCGTCCGTCCCATCCACCCTCCTGTTTTGCTGAATGTCCCTGTGCCCAGCAAAAAGCCCCCAGAGCCCAGCAGCAGCCTTGTCCCTCCTCCCTGTCCCCTGGCCTTAGAAGAGCAGGACCTGGGAAGGAGAAAGAGTTGTTTTGAAATGGCCCTACATGCTCTAATCCCTTTGCCTCCCGTAGCGATGCGGGATGTAAAGGTCCTTTATCCCCCACCCAAGGAGCGCGCTCCCGGTCAGGATGCTCAGCCCTTGGAAGAGGCAGGTGGGCTGGATGCTGACAGCCGGGCTCAAGTTCTGTTATTTCTGGATCTCAGATGCCATCGTTTTTCCAGTTGTGATCAAGAGGGACCCATAAAATGCATTAGCGGTCAAAATCTGGATTTCTAAGCGAAGCTCTGCAGCGGCTCCGGTCCAATTTGCTTGGTAGGGGCGATGGCAGTGGTGGTCTGATTTGGTCAAAACACATTTCTTCTTGGATGCTAATGAAAGGGGGGCGCAGCCTTTGGAGAGCTGGTTTCGATGTTCTCGCCATGGTTTGCACTTCCCCTTCTCCTGGCGCTCTGTGGTCCCGGCACGGTTGTTCTGTGCCATGCAGTTTGCAGTCCTGGATATTTCAACAGTAAACAGATGAAATATCCATTGAGAACAGTGCTTCTGCCTACCGGTGGGGCCAGCTGGCGCGCACATCCCACCGCTCATTGTCTGTCTGCTCGCGCGGGTCCCACGTACCAAAAAAGCACGTCCAAATGAATTTCCAGATCCAGTCGGGATGGGGCTGTTTAATAATGGCACTCCTCAGCAGCACGGTGGGCCTCCGTGGGGACCTGAACAAGCGGAGACATTCATGAAGCCGGTCAGCTTGAGTCAGTCTTTCCCGGTGCGGGCGGGAGATTCCTGGGTAACATTTGCAGACTCTTGCGGCTGCCACAGCGTTTGGAAATGAGCTAGTTGAAAGGCCCAAAATGCCAAGTGGTTCATCTGCAACATACATATGGACTGAAAAAAAATCACCACGCGCGTAGCGCACTTCCTCAAAAAAATTTGTCTCGACCCCCCCCCCCCCCCTTTTTTTTTGTTTTTTCCTTTTTTTCTTTTTTCTTCTTTTTTCTTTTTTCTCATTTCTTTTTTTCTCTTTTTTATCTTTTTCTTTTTTCTGTTTTTCTCTTTTTTGTTTTCTTTTCTCTTTTTTCTGTTTTCTTTTTTCTGTTTTTCTCTCTTTTCTCTTTTTCCCTTTTTCTTTACACTTTTCTTCTTCTTACAAAAATATCTCTAATTTTCCCCATTAGAAAGGTTTTCTAGCTGAAGCTCATGAGGATTTTTTGCCACTTTTTTAAAATGCAAGAGAAAATCTAATAAAAGCAGTGTTGCCCAGAGTTCAGGTGGGTGTGCAGTGGGAGGGGGACTGCAGGGCCCCTGCTTCGTGGCTTCTGGCTGATGCATCCTTCTATGTGAATACTAACAGGGAGGCTCAACCTTCTGAATCTGTGGCCATCAGAAGAGGGTGGAAGTGGTTTCTATCTATTTTGGTCTCAGGGACTACTCTGAGGGTTGGAGAGACCTCGAAAAGACTGAAGTGTGCCATCCCGAAGGGCTGGACCAGTTGTAGTATTGTCTGTGTTGTGCTCCTGGCTCCAGTACAGCCATGAACCCCTGGCCCAAGCACCAGCACGCATCATTTTTGCTCTCTCCGAGGGACTCCTTCCCGTGGAAGGAATCAAAATCCACCCCACGCTTGGTCCCTACAATGAGGGAGTCTCCCTAACATGGTCTGTATTTTGTTGTTAAAGTCTTGTCCCAGCAGCTTGGTGTCAAAGGGCACATTGATCCCTGAAACCTGAGGCATAGGTGACACCTGTTTGTGATTCATGTCCAGCTATAGGTCCGTGGGTTGCCTCTGTACATAAAGAAAAAGGGGACACCAGGTAAATCCAACAGGACAGCAGGTAGAAATAATACTGTGCGCCTTTTGTATAACGTGTAACCCTGTGGAGCTCGCTGCAGGGGGATACGAGTGTGGAAAATAGATTAATAACCTGTCCTTGCCTAATTGTCGTGACAGTCATTGCTAGTGTCTTTGAGGCAACTGGTGGTATCCAGGTGGACATGGATACTGGTTTTCCTGGTGCACCAGTCCGCTCCTGCATGGGAAGTCCCCGTTACGCAGTCAAGCTAGGAGCAGCGTTGACTCTTAACAAGAATGCTCTCAGCAGTTGTGCTGGTTTGGATACGCACCACATGCGTGTTAGAGTTAAAAGGGGCAGTGTTACACAGCTCAGCTTTTCAAGCCTTTGTAGAAAGGACAAGAAAGGGTGCTGGAGGGGAGAAAGACGTTATCTGGAATGAACTAGGGCAGGGACGGGGCCAAGAGCATAGAGAGGCGGCTTTGGAAATGAGAAAATACCGATGGAGCAGGGCGGAGGTTAGGAAGTTTGATCTTGGCTGCCTGAATGCTGTTCCCAAGATGAAACATCAGGACACATGGCATGGGAAGGGGAGCTGATGGGAAGCGGATGTGGGCGTTGGAAGTCATACCCCTGACCTTGCAAAGCCGTGACTTTACATGTGTTCAGTGCTGCCAAACGCACTGATGCCAGGTCTTACCCAAGAATAAGGAAGGGGCTGTGAAGGCTGAGGTGCTCCAGCTCTCCAGGGATGGTCTGGTGGTCATACTGGCACCAGCGGCTGGATGTCATCGTGGAGGAGTGCTGCGCTGGGAAGCACGGACCCATTTTAGATATGATACCTTTGGGTATGGTGGTGGGGTTTGGCTGGCGGAGCCGTGCGATTGCATTTCTGCTCCTCTGTCACGGGTCCAATGCTTTTGCGGCATCAGGCTACCCTAATGAGGGACTCGGGGGGGACTACAGACCCCTTGGATCCTGTCCCCTCCCGAGCCTGGTAAATCCACCCCACTGGATCGCCGCCATGGTCTGGTGGTTTGGTTTCTTTGTCAGTTACAAAGTGCAGTCTCACAGAACATGATTTGCCGCTGGCAGGCTTTTAAAATATGTGTTTGCTTTTGATTATATTTTTTTTTAAATTAATTTTCCAAGGATCAATGTGGTAATGCATATAAAAATTACAATATGTAAAACAAAGTATAAAAGCATACAAGGAATTCCAAACACATAACATACTGTGCCTTGGAGCTTATGAGATCCATACAGCGCTTATTGTATTATGGGAACACTCTGACCCCAAGACCCAGCGGAAAGGCTTGTTAGAAGAGCAGGACTAAGCCATGTGCCTTATGAGCTGTAGGATGCCCAGAAGGAAAACCCTAGCGAATATAAAAGCAGAGCTGTTACAGCAGAACTCTGACTGGTCTGGGGGATCTAGGGGGACTTTCAATGGCTTTGTACCAATTTCTGGAGAAGGATGTATACTTTTGCCCCCACAAATATTGTTCTCCCAGTAGTTAACACTTAACGTCATGTCTTTCCAGGGAGACTCTCCAGATTTCCATTGGATCATGATTACTTTTTTTTTTTCCCCAAACATTATTTCTTCTGTCAACTGCAGCAAGTGGGAACATTGATGTGGTTAGGAAGGACGCACATCTTAGCCGCTATAACTGCCCATGTGCTCTGCAGGTTCCCACCAGATGAGAGGCAGAGCACCAGAGCTGAAACCACGCCGAAAAGGAGTTTTGTCTTACATTTGCTGTAGGGTGGGGCTCTTAGCTGCTAGGGAGGAGCTCATGCTGTGGCTCAGGAGCAGAGCAGGTTGGGGTTGCAGGGGGACCTGATCCCCAGCTCTGCAGACCCCCAAAAGTGCAGAGCAGAGCACGGGGGATGCTTCTGCGCTCAGGTCCCTGCAGCGCCTGGTAAGGCCAGGTGAAGATTTTTGCATGCTAGAAACTTGTTTTCAGGACAGAGTTTTCTACACGCTCTCCACCAAGAAGGCGACAACCCCAAGACCTCGTTCCTGGGGAGCAAGAGTCACCAGCTGGTGCTGTGTCTTGAAACCCGCCTGGAAATGTCCCTTTTGGCCACGATGCAGGTGGGACATCCCTCTGCTCGAGCGCTTGTCCTGGTGGAGGACAAGGAGGGTTTCACTGTTGGCGCTGGTGAAGCTGTCTTTCTACAGGACCTCAGTGAGTTCCCCTAGTCTGGCAGGCAGAGCCGAGTGCAACGGGAGACCGTAGGCACGCTATCCATGCAAAAGCTATTCACAGCTCTGTAATGATATGTAATTGTTTGTATGCGGTCAGCTAAAAATTATCCTGATAGGTTCCACATTGCAGACACTTCAGAGAGGAACTGCCGTAGTCCTGCGGGTAACGCTGAAAATACACACACTTTTTCATTTAATATTAAAGCTCGTTTTTTGTTTGAAAAATTCAGTATCGCTTTTCTGAAGTTCCATGCTCGTGCACAAAGTAACTTGTTTTTATCTGCAAAAATTGAACCTGATTAGTTTACGAGATAATCAAAAGCAAAAGCTTTTAAAAGAAATATAGCATCTGTTTCTTTGTTTTCTTCTTTTTTTTTTTTTTCCTGTGTTCCTGGTGATTGTAACAAGACTGGAACTTCAGATACTTGAATTTTCTGTATAGTTGAAATAATTTGAGGTCTTATGCACAGATGGTGCAGAAAAAAACAAACAAATAAACAGTGAAGGTTAGAAAAAAGCTCAGCCAGTGTTGTGTAATGGGAGAAAAATGATAGTTCAAAAATCTCCATAGTCTGACCTGTAATCTCAAATACAAACCTGCTGTTATTGCAGTTGTACAGCTGGGCTCGGTATCGCTGCTCATCAGGGCTAGCTTCAGTACGTGACTTAATAGGCATCCCCTACCTTAACATTTTTAGTTTTCTTTTAAGTGTCATCTCCATTCCATATTGCCTACATTTGTCATGTCTGGTGTAGGGTAATTATAACTTCCCTGTGTAGCATTTGCGTACCTCAAAGTTAGACCTTATCTCCATTTGAAAATACTTTTCATGCATGGAAATACGTATAAATCAGAGTTCGTTCTCTCCTGGGAGCTTTTCGAAAGATACTTCTGGCAGCTCTGAGCATGAATTCTTATCCGTGTGAGTCCCCTTGCCCCTCTTCTGTCCCTGCTCACATCTGGCGAAGACAACAGGCACTGCTGGGCAATGGGCTCCTGCTGCCTGGAAGAAAAAAAAAAAGGGAAGCAGCAAAACCAGCGGTGGACCTGGCCGTCCAGGCTGGTCAAAGACACAGAAAACAAGCTGAGGGAAAATAGAGGTGCAAGGCTTTCCCCCGTTTTCTGCTGAAGTGATGTTTTTGGGC